GTGCTTGCATCAAAATCTTACTAGAAAATATGGCCCTTGACTCTATACAATTGTTCGCAATGACTTGTGCTTCTAGACTTACATTAGACTTGCGCATCTCTTCTTATCATCATCCTAACTTTTCTTTATATCCATGCAATCTAAGGGAGGAAATGCCCGTACCAATTTGTGGGAATCTATAACCTTTTGTTTTTTTTGAAAGCAACATACCATTTTATTTCATTTAAAAATACCAACACATAGAGGGATTAAATCACACTGCCTAAGTGATAGGCCACCCACCACCTAGGTACCAATTTATCCCTTAATTACACCATTTTACATGACAACTCAAGAACAACTCACGCTTGGTTTTGCAACTAAAACTCAAAAGTCTGATTAAACCAAATAGCAGAAGACTCCGGAAGATACATCATCCTCAGCCTGTTTTGTAATGCTCTAAAATCAATCAATTGCGGAATAAAAAGCCAGACAAGTCCCTGCTCTCGGACATCAACCAACATCAACCGCTCTGATCTCCCACCACTAACAAACTGCTGCTCATAAAAAAAATCTGCACGCCCCTACTCCATCAGCTGTTGGAACTGTTCAAATTAATTCCTCCATGAAATTACTGTTTGACCCCATAATCACTATCTTAATTTTATTTTTAATTATGCATTTAGTGTGTTCAAAAGTAGCTATTATGGTATGCACCTTTATATGCATTTGTAGGCATTAAACTATATATATTTTTTTTTTTTATGACGTGGGAACCCATAGCCGCTACCCGAAAGTGTGTATTCATTTTGTTTTCTTTAAATATGGTGTAAGCTTGTTATATTGATAGTGAGAAAGAATAGACAAACGTTCCTCCTTCCCACAGCCTTGTATATTTACAGATTTTTCTTTCACTCCCTGATTTTATTTTCCAACATCAATATTGGCATTTGGTATCAGAGCAGGTTGGTTTATGCCTAAATTCCCTTGATTCAAACCAATGTCAATCTTTATGCAAGGTGTAGCCGGAAAAGAAGCTGGCGGTATGTCGTTTGTTTACCCGCAGTCGATGATGACAAATTACACCACATGAGCAATCAAGGTGGAGGCTCTCATGGAGGCTCAAGGTGTTTGGGAGGCGATAAAACCAAAAGAATGAGACATACTGGATGAAAAGAAAGACAAAGCAATGTGTGGACAAAGTTATAAGATCATGTTTGAGGGATGATCCTGCTCTAGTATGTTTGCAAGTTAGACAATTACAATCTCGTCAGAAACATATATCTTTTGGCAAGGGGTTGTTACCTGTTTAAGTTTGATGATTACTATGATGCTTTCTCGATAATTTGGTTGTTCGAATGAAGAAAATTTTGGGGAAAATTGCATTACAAATTATACTTATTTAAATTTAATATTATGCATATACTCTCTAGATGCTAATATGGTGCATGACTCATTATAATTAATTGACTGTTTAATTCGCATAAAAAATTCTTTTCGAGAACCAGTGACTCCATTATAAATGATTGGCTGCATTTGAAAGTTTTCCACTAATGTCGTTTTCTGGTTGGAAAGTAATGCTTTTCGTTTTTGTGCAATTTGTTAATTATTTCTTTAATGATGCAAGTAGTGTAATCGCTACATGCAAAATCAGCATATTTAACAAGAGCTCAACAGTTGAAAATAGGTCTTTGCCTTTCTAATACTTCCATACAAAGCAACGTAGCAATGAAATTTCTATCATGCATGATTAATAGTTCTCTGTAATGAAAATTTCTGGCATTGCTAAGGTTTAAAACTGACATGGGTGTTAAAATTTCTGCATACCTGCGACAATTCTTCGTCGACTTATTGGTTCAATTAGCTATGATTTTGTATCGTTTCTCATGAGAAAGATTGATAAAACCTTCAGGCTAGGATTCTCCCACTATGATTGGGGATCATCAAGCTTATTTGGATACTAAAAGAACAACTACTTTAGGGTGAGTCCTGGAGATACCTTTTTCATTTCGTAGAAAGAAATATCAATATCATCTATTGGAATATTTCCATTGCTTATACCATTCTAAGATTCTGAAATATAATAAATATGGTTTCAATTTCTGAACAAGGGGATTAGTATACTAGTCTTTTCATGTTACTGCAATTGAAAATACATGCAGATGTCAGGCTTCTTTGGTGTAATTTCTTCTCTTGTCGCATCAGATGTGATACATTTTTAACAGTTGTATGTAATGGTTTTCATTTTTATTGTATGACGTATTTTTGCACGATTAGAGTGGGAGAAGTTGATTTATTCCTGCATGTGTAGGGTTGCGCAACAAAACTTCACTAATGGTGGTTGAGGAAACTTTTAACAACAAACCCATAACATATGTCCTAAGCGACAACTTCGCGGGTTGAGGTAACATTAGCGCTGATTTGGGCAGTCGGCATCCTGACCTTGGCCCATATGAAATGGCTCTAACGTAGAAAGATATATATGGCTAAGGCCATCTTTTGATGATGACTCGAGACTACATGCTCCGGGACTAATTAATTAGATGGAAACATATAAATATATACATATATATACAACTATTTTCTGTTTACAAAAATCTTTATTAATCAATTAATTTGCAAATGGCGCAAAAATGGCCGAGGAATCTCCGGTGCAGTCACGTCTGTGAGGCTTAAGGCATCTGCATTTGAAGACAAAGCTTCACGTCAAGGAGTATTAATTACGGCATCACATTTTCCATCAACAGATTTTCCATCGACATATGCCCCCTTAGATTTTCCAGGTAATTATTATTAAGAAAATTCATCGATACATTCATATAATTGCAAGTTTAAAAACAGAAATTGATGATCAATAAGGTGATGACACCACTCGAGGTGAGTCTGGGACGTGCTCTGCATTCTTTGGATATGTAAGAATATATCCGTATTTTGTTTTGTTATGAGCATATGGATTCGGAGTCTAATGAGTTTCATATACAATGTTGGAATAAATATCTTAAAATTAAAGCTATGACCTATGTAACAATACCTAATGATGTATGTGAATTTGAATCTGCTGCTTAATCCATCTATTTGCATGCAATATTTTAGATTTGCAACTGTTATGTGCATATCTGCAATTGTTCTATGCATCAATTGTTCCAAGTACCAAGCAAAGGAGCAACTCGAACTCATTCACACCGATCTGTGTGGGCCGATAACTACAGAATCATTCAGTTGTATAAGATATTTCGACTCTTTCATTGACGATTTGTCAAGGAAGACATGGGTCTATTTTCTAAAAGAAAAATCAGAAGTGTTCGAACCTTTCAAGACATTCAAAGTTTTGGTGGAAAAGGAAACAAGCAAAGTCATCAAAGCAGTTCGATGCGACAGAGGAGCCGAGTTTACTTCTGCCGAGTTCAACAAATACTGAATACTGCAAGGAACATGGGATCAGGCATTTCTTAACAGCCCCGTATTCTCCATAGCAAAATGGTGTGGCATAATGAAAAAATGGAATCATCCGTGATATGGTTCGATCAATGTTGAAAGGAAAGAATATGCCAAAGAAGTATTGGGCAGAGGCGGTACAGTGCGCAGTCTATGTGCAGAATAGATGTCCACGTGCAAAGTTAGGCGAGAAGACATCTCAGGAGATCTGAAGTGGTAAGAAACCTAACGTGTCACATATAAAAGTATTCGGTAGCGTTGCTTATGGGCAAATGCCGAGTCAGCACAGAACTAAGCTGGAGGATCGGAGCAGGAAAAATAGCAGAGCAGAGCATCTGGCATACTCAGGTATCTTAACTATTGATTCAAATAATATCATTCCATGTGAAATATCCTCTGGTCTTGCTCCTTTCTATTTTTTTAAGATTAGAATCATTTTGTTATTTTTTTATTGGTGATAAAGCCTTCTTTTTCTAGTAATTGTCTAAAATTTGAATATATTGGAATATGTGTAATCTTTAGGTTGGGTTGAATTTCATTACTTGCTTAATTTCGTATAAATTAAGATTATTATTTTTATACTATATATATATATATAACAATAATAGTAAAATATATTTTAAAGACACGAGTGACATAAAAGATTAAGAAAGTCTATAATTAATTAATATACATAAATAAAAGAGATAGTATATAAAAATTAAAAATTCAACCATCTAGAAAGCTATATAAAATAAAGTATAGTTAGAAGAGTTTAGAATATATAAAAGATATATAATTTTGGTGAATATTATTTAAAAAAAATAAAAAGGTACTCAACAAGAACATTATGTAATTACAAGGTTTAGAAGAGTGTAGAATATGTATAATAAATATATAAAAATACATATTTTTTAATAACAAAAAAAATAATTTGAACTATTTAGAAGGTTCTATTGAATATTATAAAAATAACGGCAAGTTTTGGTTTTTTGTTCAAATTAGGGTTACTTTCTTCTCCATAAACTCTATCCTTCGTCGCCGCTGCCCAGTTGCCTCTGTAATTGGGGATTGCTCGATTATTAGGGCTTCCCGTTTCTATTAGTACTATCTCCCAAACTTGATTTTGAGTTGATTTAGTTGGGTGATTTTAGTATAATTGCTTTGGGTGCTTGTGTTTGAGCAATGAGATGAGGGGCAACACATTGGAGTGAAACTAAAATTCCGCTGCGGATTTGAGCAACAAACGCAAGATAGAGAAACAATCAAATAAAGGGTCTATTATCAACTCCAAATCTACGAACAACACTTCAATCCAGTTCACTGCTTTTTCATCAATACCTTACGAGAGAGAAAGAGAAGAGGAATGAGCTATTGTTTATAACAGTTGGTTGTATATGACCAACCTGAGAGTTGCGAATCATCTTCCCACGACATCTAGATTTTTCGATAAGGTGCCAATAATTCCATTAGTTCTGCATGCCTCCCTAGAACAATATCTTTACTAATTATGCATTTCTAATCATTTATTCGATACTAAAATTGAACTTCCATGACGTGCAGGTCGATGAAGAGCTTCTAGCCGCTCAAACTGAAGAATGCACTGACGGGAACCATAACCTGTCCTATACGGGATTAGTAAGTCCTATGGTCATGTGGAGCTCGATGCATACCAGGTTTGGAGCTCGTGGGTAAGTATATCGATCTTGAAGCTATACTACTTCCATTTTAAGAAGTACAAACATAGTCTTATCTGCAATTGCTTTTTGTTTTTTCAGGTGGACAACGCCTTGTTTCGATAGCTCTGAAGAGGTAGAAGAAGAAGGTAATGGCTGAATTAAGAAAATTCTAATAATGAAACTTATCACGGATTGACAATGTCATATTTGTTCAGGGACAGTAATTGAAAACAAGATGAAAGTGTTGCAGAAGAAAGACAGCATGTGCAAGATGCAGCCTTCTGAAGAAAATTCAAAGAAATTTTGGAGTATTTGAGGAATCGAGCTCATACTTCTGCAATTGTAGACAACGCTTGTTCCAACAGCTCTGAAGAGGTAGATGATCAAGAAGGTAATGGCTGACCAAAGATATTCAAATTAGAGGCCGGTAGTCTAACCAGAACTTACGTAAAAAGCTGAATGAAGATCAATTGCCTTGTGAGAAAAGAAAATTGATCCGCAATGGCAATTTACGAACGATGAATGTATGGACAAAGTTGTGAGATCATGTTTGAGAGGATTACTTCTCGAGTATGTTTGCAAGTGTAAACATTACAATTTCATTATAAACATATCTCTTTTGGCAAGGGGTGGCTAGTTGTTTAAATTTAATGATAACTATGATGCTTTCTAGATAATTTGGTTCGAACCATGTAAATTGTGGGTGAAACGTGCCTTACAAATCATACTTTCTTATTTAATTTGTATATTATGCATATACTTTGTACATGCTAATATGCAGCGTGATTCAGTTATAATTGATTGGCTGTTTTAATTCAGATACAAAATTCTTTTTCGCGAACCACATTATGTGACTGCATTATAAATGATTGGCTGCAATTGAAAGTTTTTCGGTCATGTCGTTTTCTGCTTGGAAACAAATACTTTTCAATTTTGTGCAATTTGTTTATTGTTTCCTTCAATGGGATGTCATGAATGACGCAAGTAGTGTATTCGCTACATGCAAATCAGCATATAAAACACAATAGCTCAACATTTGAAAATAGGCCTTTGTTTTTGTAATACTTTCATACAAAGCAACATAGCAATAAAATTTCCATCATGCATGATTGATAGTTCTGTATAATGATATTTTCTGGCATGGCTCATGTTTAAAACTGGCCTAGGTGTTAAAATTTCTGCATACCTGCGACAATTCTTTCTCGATTTATTGGTTCAATTAGCTAGGATTTTGTATCGTTTCTCTTGAGAAAGATGGATAAAACCTTCAGGCTAGGATTCTCCCATTATGATTGGAGATCATCAAGCTTATTTGTATATTAAAAAAACAACTTCTTTAGGTGAGTCTGGGAGATACATTTTTCATTTCGTAGAAACAAATATCAATTTCATCTATTGAAATATTCCCATACCATTCTAAGATTCTGAAAGATGATAAATTTGGTTTCAATTTGCAATTGAAATACATGCAGATGTCATGCTTCATCACTAGTTTTGCTTATTGTGCACCTGCATTTACATGTACCGTAATAATGGAGTAAATGATTCACCAAGTTAAGGTATTAAGTTCTAACAAGGCATTCTCGAAGACGCTGGAAATAAATTTAAAATGGAGCTGCAAGATTCTTTGGAGTTATCAAATGGCTCCAACATAGAAAGATAGATATGGTTAAGGCCATCCTTTGATGATGACTCGAGACTGGTGCAGCCGAACCAGCTCCAGTGGGAGGATGAAACCAATCAAGACCTGCTCTACAACGTCCTGGTGCAAATGTTTACAATTATTCAATTAATTTGCAATGCAAATGGCTTGAGGAATCCTCAGTGAAGCCACGCCTGTTACGCTTAAAGCATCTGCATTGGAAGACACAACTTCACGTCAAGGAGTATTACGGCATCACATTTTTCATCAACAAATTTTCCGTCAACATAAATTAACCCATCCACTCATATTTTCCAGGTAATTAATTAATTAAATATATCCATACATTCATATAAATTGCAAGTTTAAATTAAAGCATGAAGACAACACTTGTTTTTTCTCTAAATTACTCCTTACCTAACAGGACCTAAATACACCAACGGACATCAGCCTTTTAAAGCACAAAAATACATTGGATACTTCAAAAATAAAAATCACCATTCAATCCTAATATAAATGGCTTTATATTAGTGTAACCTCTACCCTTTAACACCCTTATTCTGGTGAAACTCCCAAGCATTATTAAGAAAATTCATCGATACTTTCCTATAAATTTCAAGTTTAATAAATAGAAATGGATGATCGATAAGGAGATCAGACCACTGTACTATATTAAAGACCATCCATGGAGAAGTAGTTGTAGAGAGTGGAGGTGAAGGGCTTCATTGGGGACGATTAATGAAGTTTTGGTCTTGAAATTTCTGCTAAATTATGGAAAAGTGTTAGAGACATTATCCTCATATGATATCGGCTAATGCAGTTTATTTATTTATTTGTTAGCATATACCAAGTAAATTTTGCAATACTCGTTAATTTGCCAGCCTGCAATGCATCTATTACATTGGTGGATGTATTAAAGAACTTTTAGAAAAGTAAACATCGAGATTCAATTTTGTTTTTCTCATTTGTTATGCTTATGTATTTCTTTAGATGAGTTTGAATTTGATGCGTAATTACTGTATTCCTATCTAATATTTTACATATTGCAGCCTATTTCAAAAAAAAAAAAAAAAACTTTATGTAAAATTATATTAGCTATTGGCTATAAAAGTAGAATTTCGTATTGAAAAATGAGAAAAACAATTAAATCAACAATCCAAATTTTAATTCTTCGAAAGAATACAAAGAAAATAAAGATACAACCATGCTGGAAGTAAAATTCATGAAAGTGATCAGATTGCTTGCTGATTGCAATTACACTAATCATTTGAATTCCGGATTTCACGACTTCTAAGTCTGGCAAGATTAAGGCTCATTTTTAGGTAGCTGTTCTTGTGTCAAAGCGGCTACCTTCATTACCAGCCTCGTCAAGCCTAACCTTTTCAATACATCTATCTCGCCACCGTTGCATTCTAAACCGGATCCAACTGTCTCTGCGGCAACAGACAAGATCTCGTGTTAAACCAGGTAGGGATGCCGAATGATGCTATAGAAGGCACAGAATATGTGTATGAATGCATATAGTATAACAAACCAAAATATTTTGTGGCGTTACAGGTGTAAGATATATACAGCAGAGAGCTTCTGCAATATATATTGAAAATCTATGCTGCCTGAATTCAGTACCTATGAGTACAATAACCAAAGAAAGTGTGATTTGGCTTTAGTGTCCACAAATAAAAAGGAAACTAAAGCTTGGATCAATAGGTAAACCAAAACAATTAGTTGTGCACCCGAGAAAGGCTTTCCAAGTTGATATCTTCAATAACTTCCTGCTTCCATCTCTGGGGAACCATTACATAGATTTCGTCCCGCACTTTTGTCATCAATTTCAGTACATGACTGTAGTCGGGATTATCCTGTTTGATAGATTCAATAATCCAATCCCAGTAGGCATTCTCCATTATATTCTCTTTCCACTTTTCCTGGTCATGGTGCAAGCTATTAAAATGTGGTAATTAAGAACCATTAGATAATAGACCAAAATAATTAATAAATATATAAAAAGAAATAAACAAAACAACATACAACATTACTAAACAAATAAAAGAAAGAAGACGAAAGTTCACTAACCATGTAAATTAGGTATTTTCCAGGCAAACTGGGATCATAAAAAAGGACAATGTGTTCTCCATGGACATATTCATTAACAATGACTGCATTTTTCATGTCCAAACTCTTCCCAGGAGATTTTGAAATGCTATGCAATGTTTTCGACTTCATTTGTATTTGTCCCATCCCTGAATATGAATACGGACTCTACTCTCTCTGTAGCAACAGCTGTTGGTTCACCTTCTTTGTCTGAGCTACTGGAAGAAGGGGAAATCAGAGAAGAAGATGAGATAAATGCAGACAGTGGTGTGATTAAGCTTCTGGTTTCCTTTGCATTAAATAATTTCATGAGAGACTCCTCAGAAAGTGCTTTCTCCAAACGTTTAATGTCCGCATCTGCACTTAGCTGTAGGATTTTCTCCCTCAAAAGTTTCTGATCTTCAGATACCTGCATGCAGGGTTATCATAATTTCAGAGTAAACCACAAAATAGTTGAAAAGGCCTTAATTTCAGAAATGAATGGAAGTGCATTATCCGTCACCTCTGAAAGTTCAGGTGTATATTTTACTAAGAAACAAAGGATGAATTGATTTTCCTGAGGGATTTAAGATATGGGGAGGACACTCATTTGAGGCCATATGAAGAAATTAAGCTACTTTTTTTATTATCCATACTCACCACCCCTTTCCAAAAACGATATGTTCCTGATGAAAAGTTTTACTATGTCACTTGCAAACATACTTGGGCAGCATCAGCCATCTTACAACTTTTTCTACACATTCTTCATCCATAACCAACAATAACAAATAGTCAATCATCATTCTTATTTTTTCAAAAGGCAGTAGATCTACATGTTGTACATAAAAATTTCACATCGACTTCCTTCCGTAACCTTTTTTAGACCCTCAGCATCCATCCATGGTACCTTCAATGACCCCATCTTTATTATTTAGTAACTCATAAATCCTTTCCTCGATAGTTTCTTGCATAATGAACTTTATCGCATATATTGGTAGTTCATCCTGATTCAAAATTTCTTAGACTTATGTATGGATCCTGGTTGAGAAAAATGTTAATTGCAGTTCGTTTGCTTCCAAGATGGAAATTCTGTTGATCCAGATATCCCAAATTTGAATCAATTCATTTTTTTTAGGAAGAATCCTCTGTTGTCAATCCATCCCTCAACAAATTACTGGCCCGGGATGAAAATCAAGCTTTGGAGGAGATTCCTGAGAAATTTCATCACTCAAATCGAGTAGACTTTAGGAGAAGATTATTCCCTTCTTACATGATATATATATATTTAGAAGGGTGGCTGTGTATTCAGGTTTTTCCATACCGGTTTAAGGTGTCATCGATGTTCTGGTTAGAGAACTCTTCTCTTTCGATGGTAAGTTAAGAATGAAAAAATAGCGAACTGGATTGAAATATTGTTGGAATGTTTGGAGTTGATAACATGCCTCTGGATGGGCCTGTGATTGAGTATCTTGGAGACCAGATTAATGTTTGAATAAATGGATAGATCGAAGTTAGATTGAATAATTCATTGAATTAAATCTCGTATTTAAATCAAATTTAAATATTGTTGGGGTAGTGATTTATCGAACAAAACATATTCGAACACTTTAAAGGGCCAACTCCCGAAGCGTGGACGGTTCACAGTTATAACTACGTTTCAACAATGAAAAACAATGAAGAACATAAAACAACAATAAGACAAGGTGTTTGTTGACCCGGTTCGATTATCAACCATTCTACATCCGGGGGATACCAATCCAGGAGGAATTCCACTAATCAGTGCTGATTAAGGAGACAAACAACCACAACTCATTTAACTCTAATGCTAGTTATAGCTAACCCA